AGCAATGAGCACAGCTACAGTTCATAAATTTATCTACCAAATACTAGTTAAGAGTTAAAGTTGTTTTCCTACCAGAGAATTAGGCAAAGGAATCCTAAAAGTGCTACGAGTCACAAAACCAAAAATTAATGGTAAAGTATGATTCCTAGCCAAAGACTTGAATAGTTTTTCTGTGCAGTAGTTTATAATGATTTTTCCTTCAAAATTTAGATTTAAAAATGTCCAAATGAAATAAGGATTAACACAGTTCCATACAAATATCAGCCTAAACTGACAAAAACTTTCCCTGTAAACATTGAAAAATTGATTGTTGGTATTCAAATATACTTTTACTCTGTACTTTACATTAGTAGTAACCAAAGTTGAACATTCCTGTTAAAGCTATTTAATTGTTTAAGTATAATAATTTTTTAAAAAGTCATAGGAGTAATTCTGCATTACAGAAAGTTTTAAATATAGAGAAAAAACACAAATTAGCCAAACATAACTATTGTTACTTTGACACATTCTAGATCCTCTCAGTCTATTTTTATACCTATTTTAGAGCATTTTTAATTGCAAAAATAATGCATTTTATGGTTGAAATGAGGAAAACAAAAGTATCAAAAAAGTATATAATCACCTGTAACTCAGACATCTGAAGGTTAAGTTTTTAGTTGTTAGTGTTTCATGGTAAAATAGATTTTTTAAAGTTTTAGGTAATAGATACCAACTCAAGAGTGTAGGCAAAAGGAACTTTATATATTATTAATGTAAGAATACAAGAAGGAAAAGCCCTTAGGCATCAGGCAGGATAGAATCAGGAGCCAGAACCAGGATGGCTGCCACTCATAGTATGTGTATCTTCCCCCCTCACTGCATGGTCTCACTTCTGTCTCTTAGCAGACCAGCTTTTTTGTTTTTTAGTATAAGCCGTGGTAGATGGCTGCACCATAACTCCATTCAGTAGCCACGATCTCTTAACCTCAGTTTTAAATTTCAGTGGGAAATTTGTCCTAGGTGTCTGCCCTGGTACAGTCACTTGGGCCTTTGGGGTAGTGCCATGTGGTGCAAATGTGGCTGCTCGGGCTTCCCTGGGGAGTGTGGAAAGGGCGGGGCTCAGTGAATGGGGAATGGGTGTGGGCAGACATTTCAGAAATTGTCTACTTTTTTTAGTTTACAGGTTTTAAATAGAGTTGACATGTTCAAATCCTACTTTCTATTGGCTCCAGAAGCATAGTCTTCAACGGCTCACCTTCTGCCTTCTTATGGAGTGTTTTTCACCCAAAAGTCTAGTGATAAGGACAATGATTATTACTATTTTTTTACAACCAAATTTTCCTAGTTTTTTTTTTCTTTTTTTAAAAAAACAAAGATTTTTTTTAAATCAAATTCGCTAATCCTACTCTTTGATTTCTTCTAAGACTTATAAGTTTAGAGATTTGATAAATGTTCGATTCTGTTTTCTCCTAGTTTATTTCTAATCACATTCATTCATTCAGCAAATGCTGAGCCTCTGCTGGGTGCCAAGAACTGTCCTAGGTGCTGGAGATCCAGCAGTGGACAGAACTTGACAGTCCCATGCTCTTGGAGCTTATATTATGTATCTTTTTAGTTTTGGTAGCTGGCCAGTATGGGGATTCAAACCCTTGACCTTGGTGTTATCAGCACTGCACTCTAACCAACTAATGAGCTAACCAGCCAGCCCATATTCTGGTAGGAGGAGATGGACAAAAATAAATAAATAAATAAATAAATAAGTGACTTTGAACAAAGAGCTGGGTTGAGTAAGGGAGGGTGTCTGCAGCAGAGCATTCAAGGCAAGCTTGAAAGCTCTAGAGTAGGAGAGCACTTGGCTTATTTGAGGAACAGGAAAGCTGCCAGGGTAGGGAGCTTGGGGGTCTGAGTGCGGTTGGGGGGTTTTGAGCAAGAAAATCATGTGAGTGTATGTGAGGATGTGAGAGTCTCAAATTGCTAATCGCTTACCTTCATCCCCTTTATTAAGTAATCTTTCATTTTTCCATTGTTTTGTCATGCCTTTCTCATATTTTAGGGATTTATTTTCTTTTTGTGTCTTCTATTCTCTTTCACTGCCTCATCTCTCTCTTCTTTTGCTTGTATTACACTTTTAATGATTCTTTTTATAATGTTTAAATATCTGATAAGGTTTCCCCTTACTACTCTTCTTTTTTAAGGATTTTCTTTGATATTCTTATCTGTTTATTCTTCCAGATGGCATTTACAATAATTGTCTTAGGTTCCAAGTAAAAATACTATTGAGATTTAACTGAAATAGCATTCTATGTAAATTAATTTGAAGAGAATTAATTTGAAGAGAATTGGCATCTTTATTGAGTTTTCCCATTAAGAGACAAATCTGTAACATGCAAAATTTTAAACATTACATCATTCTAGTTTTTAACTTTATTTTGTTGTGGTTGATAAGAAATGCAGTGCATTTTTGAGATGACTGGTTGTGGAGCCCATCTAGGTAGGAAGCCTTTTTCATTCAGTTCAAAAAGCATTTTATTGAATTCTTGCTGTGTGCCAGGCACTTTAGACATCCAGTCCAGAAATGAAGGCTCTGTCCTGGGATTTCATTCAATTGGCAGGAGCTCAGAATTTATTTTTGGTATTAGGGCAGAATTCTGTGAAAGAAATCATATTGTCTTGTTCCTTTCTGCCTAAAGGACTAATTTCTCAAAAGTGCTTTGTGGATAGAATGAAAATAACACACAATTGTCAGCCCTTTATTGGATATCTTCCTATGTGCTAGGTAGAACAACAAAACGGATTATTAATTTCTCAGTGTTTTAAAAAGTTTTTTCCCCACTAAAGAAGTAACATATCAGTCCCAGCTTTACCCCTCAGCAGCTCTGTAAATAAATCTCAAACCCATGTCCTTCTGTCCATGTTAAAAATGGTCTCCACTTTACTCCCAGCTCTCTAGTCCACATCGCCACTGTCTTCCACCTGTACTATTGCTGTCTCTTTGTTACGAGTCACCCTGCTTTTCTCTTGCCCACATTTACAAACTATTTTCCACACAGCGGCTGCAGTGACTTAATTGATGTACTCATCACCCTCCTTCAGGAATTACGGTAATGGTCACTTTTTAAAGTGCCCTCATACAATAGGGCTTCTGTCTACCTCTCTGACTTTATCTTTTGCCTACTTGATTGTTCCTCCCTCAGGGCCTGTGCATTAGCTCTTTCCTCTGCTGGAACACCCTTCCCCTGTATTTTCACCATGCTGGATCCTTTTCAGTCTAAACGTTCTATTCTCAGAGAGGACTTTCCTGATCCGTCCCTCAACCTCTAATGTGTAGTGCTATTCCAGTCATTCTCTGCCAAACCATTTATTTAAACAATCTTGGCATATTTTGGTTTATTATCTGCTATATATACATATTTTTTTTGTTAATTTATTATCTGTCTTTTCCTACTTCTATCCTTTCCCCACCCCCCAACTTTTTTTCTGTCTTGCTCACTGCTGAATCCCTAGTGCCTTAAAATAGTAACTGGCACATAACAGACTCATTAGGGGATATTTATACAAAAAAATTGCCAACACATACCAGGTGTTTGGTATTTATATAAAAGATTATCTGGTAGAATGCATCACAGAGTTCCAGAATTCCAGTTGATACGTTTCTTTTTTTTTTTTGTCGTTTTTGTGACCAGTAAGGGGATGCAACCCTTGGCTTGGTGTCGCCCGCACCGCGCTCAGCCAGTGAGCGCACCGGCCATCCTTATATAGGATCCAAACCCATGGCGGGAGCGCCGCTGTGCTCCCAAGCGCCACACTCTCCCGAGTGTGCCATGGGGACGGCCCGATACGTTTTTTAAAAAGGACTGTTTTGTTCTAATTTTTACGTGTAGCTTTTGTTTCTGTAGCAATTAAAAGCTATTTGAGGTTAGATGATTTTATTTATTTATGTTTATTTTTTGGCTTTCATCCTTCATATAGTGTCCTGCTCACTTTAGAACTCACTAGATAATTTTGATAAAACAAATCGTTTTTATTGCGATGTTTGGCAAAACACAGAGTGCTTGCGTGTGTAAGGTTGAAAAAGTTAACATAATACCTTGCTGGCTTTATTCTTCATTATCACTTTTTCCTTTGTCCTCAGTTGTGGACTGTTCCACCCTTAGCTTGTGAGCTATCTCTGCTACCTGTTCTCCAGTGAGGTAGCTTATGAGTGGCCACTGTAGGCTAAAAATGCCCCCCCTGAAGATGTGATTAGTTAAGTTTCTTGAGATTGGGGGAATAATCCTAAATTATACAGGTAGACCCAGTATAATCACAAGGATCCTTATAGGAGGAAGGTAGGAAGATCAGAAAATATATATATATATATATATATATATATATTAATATATATAAAATGTATCTGAATATATGCATATAATGTATATAATTTATATATATATATAATGTATCTGAATATATGTATATAATGGGTATGTGTGTGTGTGTGTGTATATATATATATAAAATGTAATGATGGAAGTGGAGGTGAGAATGATGTGCTCTGAAGATGGAGGAAGGGCCCACGAGTCAAGCGATGCAGGTGGCCACTAGATGCGGAAAAGGAAGGAAATGAATTCTCCCCCAGAGCCTCCAGAAGGAATGCAGCTCTGTTACATCTTGATTTTAGCCCAGTGAAACTGATTGTAGATTTCTGCCCTCCCAGACATTAAGATGATAAATTTGTATTGTTTTAAACACGTAGTTTGTGGTAATTTGTTACAGCAGTCATAGAATAATATAGTGGTTTAAGGCAAGAAATCAGGAACCTGTCGGAGTGCTCTGAGGTTAATCCGATTTGCTGGCTTAATAGGTAGCCACCAAAAAGGAGGCCATAAAGAATTGAGATGGCAACTTCTGGTAGGTAATTTTGAGAAAAAGAAAAAGGTACAGTTGATGGAAAAAATGGAGGAGTATTATGTGCTGCAATTGCACATCAATTTTATAGTGCAGTTAAGCTCTTTATGACTTTTTCCTTGTATTTTACACAGATCAGAAACCTCTTGACCTTGCCCAGGGTGCTGAAGTGAAACACATCTTTGTTGGTAATAAGGTACGTAGTAATGGGTTAAATTTATGTAATTTTTAGGAAAAATAATTTTTAGGAAAAGTTTTTCAGTGCTTGAAATAGATGCATTTTTAATGAATACGTGCTTTCAATAGGTCACTTACAAAGCATTGAAACGATATGAAGGCCCTCTCTGGAAGGTAAGTTGGGATGGTTTTTTAATTATAAAACTAGAAGGAATTCTCAGATGTTCTGTTTTTGTTTAAAAAAAAATTTTTTTTTTCCCTATCATCTCTGAGGTATATGTGATTTAATCAGTTTTGGATCTTGTAGACTAGTTTCCCCCTTATTCAAAGGGGATATATTCCAAGACCCCATATGGATTCCTGAAACTGTGGATAGTACTGAGTCCTATATACTGTTTTTTCCTCTACATACATACCAATGATAAAGTTTAATTTATAAATCAGGCACAGTACTCCTGTACTTTGAGTCCATTATTAAGTAAAGTAGGGGTTACTTGAACACAAGCACTGTGATACTGGACAATCGATCTGATAACCAAGACAACTACTAAGTGACTAATGGGCTGGTAGCATCTACATTGTGGATATGAGGGACAAAGGGATGATTCACGTCTTGTGTGGGCCATGGCAAGAGATTTCATCACGCTACTCAGAACAGCACACAATCTAAAACATAGTTGTTTATTTCTGGAATTTTCCATTTAATATTTTTGGACTCTGGTTGACTGTTGGTAACTGAAACTGCAGAATGAGAAAGTGCTGATAAGGGGGATGACTATAATGTAAACCATTTTTATACTGCTGGCCTTCAAGATGCTTTCATTGGTTGTAGCAATTACTTTCTTTTGTGTTGGTGGTCTAATGCTTTTAAGTGAATAAATTTGTATGGTAAGGAGTGGGAGAAAATACTTTTTTTTCTCACTAAATCATAGAATTACAGTATTATTTTTGCTATCTTTTGTTTTGTTTTTGTTTTGCAGCTGGCTGGTATAGGGATCGAACCCTTGACCTTGGTGTTATCAGCACCATGCTCTAACCAACTGAGATAACTGGCCAGCCTTTCAGTATTATTTTTGTTATAATCATCAAACCCTAGATAACTTAGGAGGAAATTAATGTTTGAATTGTAACAGTGTGCGCATATAAAATTCTTCTGGTTCTAAAAATTTGTTTTGGGGGCGGGGCAGAAAAATAAATAAATAAAAATTTGTTTTGGAGTTGAGTAATTTTCTAGAATTAACTGTATTTGAGCACATAATTTCCTTTGCATTTGCAAGCAATCCCTCTATATATTTATATACATGTGTGTTTATAGTTTATATAATACATTTAGGATAATTTTCTTTTTTTAGACATTCACTCACAACTTTGAGGAAATTGCCTTTGATTAATTGATTGATTTTGAGGAAACTGTCTTTGTAGCCCACAGCTGATACATTTTCTATACATCTACCTGAACAGTATTGTCAGAACCATAAATTGTACTCATCACTGATCTCATCAGTATGGCATTTCTTCTGTCCCTGCTACCCTGTAGTGGTAGTGGTGTGTTTTCATTACTGCACTTAGTACTTAAGCTCGTGTTTGATCATTTTTTAATGTTTAGTACTACTGTCCAGACAAAAGACTCAGATATAACCGTCACAACTTAATTACTTTTTATTGGTCAAGTGTTTGAATTCAGATGTGTCAGCTTGGGAAATCATTGTCGTCTTTCCTCTAGAGTTCAAGATTTTTTGGCTGGAGATTATTCTGGGTAGTGTTAGAACACGGAGTCCTTTCATGGTATAGGAAACAGTAAGTATTATGATCCTTATTAAATTTCAGTATATAAATTTTGCAATATTAAGTTTTTTCATCTATCTCTTTTCCTTTTGTCTTGATAATTATATATATATATATATTGTTGTTTGTTTGTTTTTTTGAAGGCCTGACGCAGTTCGTAATATTTATCGCCAGGGATGCAAACACCTGACTCAAGCAGTGTGCACGGTAGGATGAGACATGTCTTTTGCTCTAACTGTGGAATCAGTTCTGCAAGTGATTGTCCCAAAGCATTTGTATAAGGTGCCTTGTAAAATCTTAGGGTTCTATGGAATAGTGTAGAAAACATTTGAATATATTTTTATTTGAGAACAAGTAAAATTGTGGAATGCCTGTTTTGAAAAAAATTTTAAAATATGACTTAATAATAATCTCCACATTATTGTGGAATGAGAGATGGATGGTCCAGGAACATCTCTACAGAGCTTTTAACATTTTGTGTGTGTTTGTGATTTGTACATGGGTAAATCTGGATAATGGAAGTTTTTCTGGGGTTCAAATAAAATTTAAGATTCTATGCCAAAATCAGAAGTGTTAGCTTGTCTGTATTCACTTCTAGCTCTTTCACTTTTACCAGCCAGGAGAATAAGTGAGTTTTCCCTCTTTGGAGACTGGTCTAAGACTGGAGCCCAGACATGTTTTCTCATTTCCTCGCTTCATGTCCTGTAGGGTCGTCCGCATACCGTAGCAGTCTGTCTGCTGTGTGGAGCACACTCCTGCCTTTATCAGTGGAAACATTCTCAGAGGACCAGTGGCACTCCCCTCAGGGAGTCATGGGGGTCATGTGCCAGAACAGGACAATCTAGTTACACAGGCATGGCCCCGTCAGTGTCCTCAACTCCTTCCTTCTGTCACATTAGACTAGAGGGCCAGCGCACCTCTCTGTGATCTTACCCATTTGATCTTTTTGTTTCTGCTGCTGCTGCAGTCCTGGCCATTTTCTTCTTCTGTTCTTGTTCTTGATTCATCTACTTAAGTAGATAAATAAATATTATTTATTTATTTAAATATTTTTTTATTTATTTAAATATTTTTTATTTATCTACTTAAAGTTTTTGCGCAACTGGGTCCCTTATCTTATTCTCGTTTTCCTTAAAACAAAAAGTAAACAAGTTACTCCCCTCGCACATTTGAAATTTCTTTGTCTTTTGTGTCTCTTGAATTGATTAGCTCCTGCCTTTTTTGCCTATCCTGTTTTGTATTTTTAGTTCTCATGTAATTGTCTGCTTAAAGCCTGCATCTGTGAATCACATGTCAGTATAATCTAATGGGCATTTATTCAGAGACTTCTATAAGGCAGGCTCTGTTCACTTTCTAGTTTAATTTACGTATGAAATACACTATTTTCACTGAGATTCAGTAGATTTTTTTTAATAACCCTGTTCAATTTTTTTTATATCTTTCATCAATTTTCAGTGTACTGGGATGCTTGTTTTGATTGGGATTGAGTTGAATCTCTAGATTCACTTGGGGCAGAATGCCTTGTCAACTTAGCGATATTGAAAACCTCCAAACTATGAAAATCGCATCTCTCTCCATTTATTGAAATCTTCTTTAATATCCTTTTACAATGTTTTATAATTTTTTGTTAAATGTATTCTTATGTGTTTATTTTTGAAGTTATTATAAATGGACTTATAATTCCCATTTTCTAATTTTTTTATAGCTAGTATATATAAATAAAAAAATATTTTTTGAGTATTTATCTAATGCCCTGCAACCTTGCTAAATTCATTTCTTAGTTCTAGTCACTCTTTCATAGATTTTCTCAGGGTCTCCTTCACGTACAATTATGTTGTCTGCTAATAAAGATTGTTGCATTTCTTTCCAATCCTTTTGCCTTTTCTTTTTTATCCTTGCTTTATTGTATTTTATAGGACCCTGTGTATAATTTTAAATATAACTGGTGAGAATTAACATCCTCCTCTTGTTTCTCATGTTAAGTATAGAGCATTGAGACCTTGAGCCTTTCACTATCGAGTGCCCTTAATCTGGTGGAGTAAATACCACTTTATGGTTTACTGAAGGCTTTCATCATGAAAACGCGTTGACTTTTGTGAAATGCTTTTTCCATATTACAGAAATGATCATATGGTTTTTCTATGTATCCTATTAATGTGGTGAAATGTGTTGATCGACTTTAGGGTGTTAAACTAATCTTGTATTACTGGGACAAATCCCGCTTGATCATGATATATTATCCTTTTACTATATTGTTTGCTAATGTTTTGTTAAGGATTTTTGCATCTGCATTCACGATGGATATTGGTTTAGAGTTTTCTTGTGATGTGTTTGTCTGGTTTTAGAATCAGTAATACTGGCCTCACATGATAAATTGGAAAGTGTTCTCTCTCCAGTTTTTTGGAGAGTTAGTGTAGTATTAGGTTTATTTTTTCCTTAAATGCTTGTAACTCACCAGTGACACCACGTAAACCAGGGGTTTTCTTTGTGGGAAGGATTGTAATTACAAATTTAATTTCTTCAATTGCTATAGGGCTTTTGAGATTTTCTGTTTCTTCTTGGGTTGTTTTTGTTATTTTTGTTTATTTTCATTAGTTTATCAAACTTTTCTTAATAGTTTTCCTTTACTATCTTTTTATTGTTTGTATGACAGGTAGTATTATATCCTCTTTCATTTCTTATAACGGTTATTTGTGTCCCCTCTCTTCTAGATTAATCTGGCTAGTAGTTTATCAATTTTACTGATCTTTTCAAAGAATTGGCTTTTGAGTTTTATTGAATTTTCTCTATTGTTTTTCTTTTTTCTATTTTATTTCATTGATTTTTTCTTTTAAAAAATTTTTATTGCTTTGGATTTCATTTGCTCTCTTTTATAGTTTCTTAAGGTTGAAGCTTAGGTTATTGATGGAGACCTATTTTCTTTACTAATGTAGCCATTTAAAGCTGTGCTCTTTCCGTTATAGCTGTTTTTGTTTCATCCCACTAATTTTGGATATTGTATTTTCATTATCGTTCATTTCAAAATATTCTAATATATGTTGTGGTTTCTTCTTTGAGGCTATGAATATTTAAAACTATGTTGTTTAATTCCCAAATAATTGGACTTTTCCTGATTATCTTCTTGTTGATTTATAGTATAATTCCATTTTGATTATTGAGCATATTCTATATGATTTCCGTCTTGTTAAGTTTATCGAGGCTTTTTTGATGGCTGTGCTTATGGATTATCTACTGTGTATTTTGTTATTGTTGGGTGTAGTATCCTATAAATCTTAGTTCAGTTGTGGTCCTTGGTAGTGTTGTTCAGATTTTCTGGTTTTTTTCTGGGTTTTGGCTAGTTGTATGAGTTGCTGAGAGGCAGTGTTAAAATCTCCAACTATGCTTAATGAATTATGTATTTCTTGCTGTTACTGATCACATATTTACGATTATTGCCTTTCTGATTAATTGACTCTTTTATCATTATGTAGTGGCCCTATTTATCTGTTGTAATGCATTTTGTTTTGAAATCTATTTCATATAATCACTCTGGCCTTCTTGTGCACACTGTTTTCAAGGTGTCTTTTTTTCTATTTACTTTCAACCTATTTGTATCTTTATGCTTATTTTCTGTCTTTTGTAGGTGGTGTATATTTTAGTCCCTATTATCCATTCTGACAATATTTGCCCTTTAATTAGATTTTTCTTTTGTGAATGTGTTCTACTTTCTTGCTTCTTCATATGCTGAGTAATTTTGGGTTATATCCTTAATATTATGAATGTTAAGTTCTGGAGATTCTGGATTCTATTACTTTTCTCTGTTACATGTTATTTGTTTTAGCAAGTAATTTTCTTGGCTTGGTTTGGATTGTAAATTCTGTTTTGGGTGGCAGCTCGGGTCTCAGTTCGTATAGTTGTGTTTATGGGAGCTGCTTTGAATCTTTTCTGTGCATGTGTGGAACATGGGTCAGTTAGAGATGGAGTAGACAAAATTTGGGGATCCCCTTTCTGTCTCTTTCCCTTGGAGGATTCCCTGTTCTCTTTAGTGTTTATGGCTGCCCTGCTTTGTTAATTTCTGGAGACAAGAAAGGCTGGGTTCTCCATGTGTCCCTCGCTGTTGTCATGTCACCACATGGACTGCACTTAGTCCAGGTGAGAAGCCTTGGGGATCAGGGAACTGAATTCCAGAGCTCCCTTTCCTTCACGAGAGTGTGCACTCCCGTCAGAGTCTGTGAAATGTTACTCGTTTTACAGTTCGTTCATGTGGTTGCTTTTTGTTTTGTGTCCAGGTTTTATAGTTGTTTTTTACAAAGGGGGTCCTCTGGTCAGTCGAGTCTTGAAGCAGAAGTCTGCTGTTTTCCATTCTTACATCCTTTCCCTTTCCAAATTTTTATTTTTTTAAAAAATTTATTATCTCTGGTTCTTCCTATCTTCTTTCTCTTTTCCTCTTTTCAGCCTTATCTATTACTTGTTCTTTTATATTCAGCTCAAATATTTTCTATACTCAGCTCAAACAAAAAATTCAGGAGAGTGGTATGAATAAGAAATTGGAACTGTGGTAGTTAAAGGATTTTATAGCCCAAGTGCATCCTAAGTTATAATTAATAGAAAGGATAAAACTAAGACTACACACCTAATGAACTATTAGTATTTACTTTGAGTAATGAAGAATGTGAAAGCCAGATTTGACATAGATAAGCTACAGTGCATTTGATAATTCCCCTGTATTAATTTTTTTCCTGATTTTTATCAGTCAGTATTTTAAATGTTGTCCAGTTGGGTATCATTAAATCATGTTAACACTTTAAATTTTATGTGTAGATAATTTAAGGTCCCCTTTCGTGTGAGTGAGTAGTTTTAACTTACTGACTTCTTTGTATCCAAGGTAAAATCCACTGATAGCTGCCTCTTCTTTATTAAATGCTTTGATGACACTATTCATGGCTTCAGGGTTCCTAAGAATAACCTTCAACAGTCAAGAGAGGTAATCTTTTGGATTCATTTATCTTTCATAAAACTTAAACAACATCTAAAGACATGAAGAATATAACATAGGTTCAATATTAACATCTAAGATCCTGTTGATTGTACTTTTTTAATGGGAGCAATTATATGAAGCTTTTGAAACTTATGAATTAGTTCTTATCAATATGTAAATACCTGCAGGTATTTTCTGTTCATAATTTTTCATTTTGATGATCTGAATGTAATTGGCCCTTACTATTTTTGGAAAAAAGACTAAATGATTATTTGGTCTACTCCTTAACTTATAGGTGAGGAAACTGCAGACTGTAAGACTGAAGTGATTTCCCAAACCTGCACAGCTAGCAAATGACAGAGCCTGAACTATAATCCAGGTGTTCTGATGCTTGTTACAATTTAGACTCAGTCTTCCTTTGTGGTAAATTGAACAGTAGCCACAAGCAAGAAAATTGGGATTCATGTGACCAAAATTCATCATATAGTCATTTAATGGAGAATCCGTATTCCTATAAATAAAACCGTAGACCTATTTTGTTTTATTATGAATCCTGTAAGGGGTTAAAGGAATCTTATCTCCCAAAGTGGTTAACTTTGGCTCTGCAAAGAACTGTAAACAATCTGACTCATGACTGTCCCAACATTTTATCAAATGGTAAGATTTGACCCTGAGAAATACTGTAAAAAATTAGTAAGAAGTAAGGTGTTTTTCGTCCAAACATTCTTTTTGTGAAACCACAGCTTTTTATAAAACATCATAAAAGGTAAAGCATCAGGGCAATTGTTGGCTATCTTAAAATTATTAGAGTGTTTTTGCACTTATAATTTAATTGCAGGTTAGTTAAATTGATTATCTGGATCCATTATTATTTAATAACTTATTCAACAGTGTTGAGAACATATAATTTTAATTGAAAAAATTTTTACCCATCTTTTAATTTCTATCATGTATTTGAGAAATGAATAAGTAAGCTTATAGATGATATTTTTGAAAGTACTGGGAAAGTTTATTACCCAGCCTTACCATAGACAAGAAACCTGCATTATTATTTCATTGTTGGTTGCTATTTTTTTTTTTTTTGAGGCCATCATACTTATTTCTCCATGTAAATTTTATGCTTTCCAGGTCATTGTCATATTATCTTTTGGAGTAAAAATGCTTTTCATTTTTATTTAAATCCTTGGATTATTTCAGGACTGGCTGGAAGCAATAGAAGAGCATTCTGCTTACAGCACTCACTACTGTTCCCAGGACCAGTTGACCGATGATGAAGAGGAAGATGCAGTATCTGCTGCAGACTTGAAGGAATCCTTAGAGGTAACAGGAAGACATAACCTGACCTTTACAGCTGACTGTCATGCAGGTTTTATCAAGAACTAATTTTTTTTTAAGATGGGAGGTTTTAAAATTATGATTCCTGACAAAGGAAATAGTATTATTCTTTTTCCATCATGTTCTATTGGTATTTGTAATGTCTGTGTCATGGTAATACAATCAAAGGTGTCTGAAGATATGCTCTAACAATACGGACATGTGCTTGTATGTGTCTTCCTATGCTAAGCTTTTTTTTTTTTTTTTATTGGTATGGGTATTCATGTTATACAAAGCTGATTGTCACCTCTTGTGTCAATGACTTGAGGGCCAGATTCATACTGGCAGCATACCCATTACCACAAATTGCATTTGTACCCTGTGTCCCCCACCCAGTTACCCCCAACCTCTCCCACCCTCTTCCCCCCCCCCCCCCCCCCCCCACCCCCCACTAAGTCTAGCCATACTGGCCACCTCTCAAAGACGCCAAACTCCTTTCTCCCTCAGAGTATTTGCAATGCTGTTCCTTCTTTCTGGAACATTCTTTCCTACTCCCCCTAGCCTCACACCTATCCTCTTTGTATGGCTGGTTTCTTCTGATCTTACTGATCTTGCCCTAAATGTGACCTCCTCAATGATCACTGTACCCAAAGAACATTTCTTTCCTACTCCAAAGCCCAACACCTTGCAACACCTTACAACACCACCTTCCCCCAGAAGAAAGCTTGATACCATCTAGGGTTTTCTCATTACCCCTTGTTTTAAGAGACCCCCCCCGCTCCATTTTGTAGCCCAGGGAACGTTCTCTCCCTCTGCAAGTCCAGTGCAATACTGTGGTCTTTCTTTCCTTCATTCTTTTTCTCTTAGCTCCCACATTATGAGTGAGTACGTGGTGGTATCTATCCCTCTGTGCTTTGCTTATTTCACTCAACCTAGAAAAGTTGGTTTTTTGAGAAGATAAATAAAATAGACAAAACATTACCTAGGTTAACAAAAAAGAGGAGAAGACCCAAATAACAAAAATCAAAAACGAAAAAGGAGACATTACAACCGATACCACAGAAATATGAAGAATCATTAGAGACTATTATGAACAGCTGTATGACAACAAATATGAAAATCTGGAAGATATGGATAAGTTTCTAGACACATACAAATTACCCAGACTGAACCAAGAAGAGAGAGAAAACCTGATCAGACCAATAACAAGCAAGGAGATTGAAGCGGTAATTAGCAGCCTTCCAACAAAAGTCTGGGTCCGGATGGCTTTACAGCTGAATTCTGTCAAGCTTTTAAAGAGGAGATTGCTGATTACCACTTCAGTCTGGTTGCTTGTTATTGGTCTGTTCAGGTTTTCTCTATCTCCTTGGTTCAGTGGGGGTAGTTTGTATGTGTCTAGAAACTTATCCAAATCTTCCAGGTTTTCATATTTGTTGTCAAACAGCTGTTTATAATAGTCTCTAATGATTCTTCGTATTTCTGTGGTATCGGTTGTAATTTTCCTTTTTCGTTTCTGATTTTTGTTATTTGGGTCTTCTCTCTTCTTTTTTTTGTTAACCTAGGTAATGGTTTGTCTATTTTATTTATCTTCTCAAAAAAACAACTTTTTGTTTTGTTGATCTTTTCTATTGTTTTTTGGGTCTCTATTTCATTTAGTTCTGCTCTGATCTTATTTCTTTCTGTCTGCTACTTTTAGGATTGGATTGTTGTTTTTCAAGTTCTTTGAGGTGTAGTGTTAAGTTGTTTATTTGAAGTCTTTCCATTCTTTTGATGTAAGCATGTATTGCAATAAGTTTGCCTCTTAGTACTGCTTTTGCAGTATCCCACAGGTCTGGGTATGATGTATCTTTATTTTCATTAGTTCCGAGAATTTTTTTGATTTCCTGTTTAATTTATTATTGGACCCATAGGTCATTCAGGAGCCTATTGTTTAGTTTCCATGTATTTGTATAGTTTCCAGAGTTTTCCTTATTATTAATTTCCAGTTTTAGTCCATTGTGATCTGCAAAGTTACTTGGAATGATTTCAATTTTTAAAAATTTGCTGAGACTAGATTTGTGACCTAATATGTGGTCTATCCTGGAGAATGTTCCATGTGCTGATGAGAAGAAAGTATATTCTTTAGTCGTTGTGTGAAATACCAATTCTCCTCAAACTATTCCAAAAAATTGAAACAGAAGCTACTCTCCCAAACTCACTCTATGAGGCTAACATAACTCTGATACCAAAACCAGATAAAGACACAAGAAAAAAAGAAAATTACAGGCCAATATCCTTGATGAACATAGATGCAAAAATCTTCAACAAAATATTAGCATTCAGAATACAGCAACACACTGAAAAATTATACACCACGATCAAGTGGGATTCATCCCAGGGATGCAGGGACAGTTTAACATACGAAAGTCAATTAACATGATACATCACATCAATAAACTCAAGGACAAAAACCATATGATTATCTCAATAGATGCTGAAGAAGCATTTGACAAAATTCAACATCCCTTCATGATAAAAACTCTCAACAAATTAGGTATAGAAGGAAAATATCTCAACACAATAAAAGCCATTTAATTTATCACAAGCCAACCACCAATATCTTTCTGAATGGGGAAAAACTGAGGGCCTTTCCCTTAAGAACAGGAACAAGACAAGGATGCCCACTCTCACCACTTCTATTTAACACAGTACTGGAGGTACCAGCCAGAGCAGTCAGGCAAGAGAAAGAAATAATGGGAATCCAGATTGGAAAAGACAAAGTCAAACTTTCCATATTTACAGATGACATGATACTATATATAGAAAAACCTAGACTCTATCAAGAAACTCCTAGAGGTGGTTAATAACTTCAGCAACATTGCAAGATACAAAATAAATGTCCCCAAATCAATTACATTTATATACTTAAATAATGAACTAATAGAAAGAGAAATAAAGTAAGCCTATTTACAGTTGTCACGAAAAAAATAAAATACCTAGGGATCAAATTACCAAGGAGATGAAAGACCTCTACAATGAGAACTGTTAAGCTTTTACATTGCTGTCATCTGATTGTCATTATATTCAAAAATTGCTGCCAGTAGGGGGAGCATGCATAGCTTGACTTGCTGCCCTTTATGACTTCACTGTGTAGTTCAGAGTTTAAATAGTGCAATCATAGTGATACCTTTTCTGGTCAGTAGTTTGATTTAAAACCACTTGTAATCTGTAACTTCACTGCTTAGAGTTAAGGGAGAGCATCAGTAATGAATGAAGAAGGCCTCCTCTGAAGTGACATCTGTGCCTTATCCATAAAGGAATATCAGCATATGAAATTGAAATGAAATAGGTATTTTTTTTGGGGGGGGGAACAAAACTTTTTGGCTGTACCTTTTTTTTTTTTTTTTTTTTTTAAAGATGACCGGTAAGGGGATCTTAACCCTTGGCTTGGTGTTGTCAGCACCACGCTCAGCCAGTGAGTGAACCGGCCATCCCTATGTAGGATCTGAACCCATGGCCTTGGTGTTATCAGCACCACACTCTCCCGAGTGAGCCAAGGGCCAGCCAGCCCTTGGCCGTACCTTTTAACTGCATCTTGTTCCTTAAAGAATGGGAATTAGGTTTGGAAGAATTAGAATTATGAAAGGATGATGAGTTTCAATTCAATTAATTATGTTAGAGCATATGAATTTGCCTACCCATATTTTTATTTATTTTTTATTTTTTTTAAAGATGACCGGTAAGGGGATCTTAACCCTTGGCTTGGTGTTGTCAGCACCACGCTCAGCCAGTGAGTGAACCGGCCATCCCTATGTAGGATCTGAACCCATGGCCTTGGTGTTATCAGCACCACACTCTCCCGAGTGAGCCAAGGGCCAGCCAGCCCTTGGCCGTACCTTTTAACTGCATCTTGTTCCTTAAAGAATGGGAATTAGGTTTGGAAGAATTAGAATTATGAAAGGATGATGAGTTTCAATTCAATTAATTATGTTAGAGCATATGAATTTGCCTACTAGATTTAATCCTTTTTTAAAATAAATTAAATGAATTAGTTGTAGGATTTGAACGTTTCTAACTCAGCAACTTTAATGAAGTTCAGTAATACCTAAGCAGTTTTACTGACTTAAGGGCTGGTAAACTTAATATAAAAGGAATTTTGACTCTTTCAATCCTTAATCTTAATTTATGATGGATCATTAAAGAATTTGAACTCTTCCATGTGTTTTTGTTTGTTTGTTTTGGGAGGCTGGCTGGTATGGGGATCTGAACCCTTGACCTTGGTGTTACAACACTGTGCTCTAATCATCTGAGCTAACTGGCCAGCCCTCTTCAATGTTTTATTTAAAACATTCCCCAGAATTTGTTGACAAATTGCTTTGCCAGCACTACTTCTATTTTAAAGCCTAATGTATAATGTGAGAGCCATAAACATAATTTTCAGATCAGTGATCTTTGCAAAAGTCCCATCTACTAGAGCATCTAAGTAACATTAAAACTGGGAAAATAGGGAGGGTATGGCCAAAATTATGTTAAACAAATAAAAAATAAAACTATGCTAAATATTTTAACTTTTAGTCAGTATTCCCTAAGTGAAAAGAAATCCTTCCCTATTTATCTACCCTCAATATAAGGTAAATGATAAAACCTAGAAAGATTTACAAAGCATACCAGTATCTTTTATTTTATTCCTTATTTGAATATTTGTTCATATGTTAACTTTAAAATCATGATTTTTTGTCTTCTAGATTTTATAGCACCTGAAGTCAATGAGAGTTTTAGCCAGTGTTAATCACTTCAAGTTTTGTAGGTCATAGACATATCTCTGTACAACAAGAATTCGAATGCTAATTCTGTGAATCTTAACTGTACACTCAACATCTGAAGCTGGTCCAAAATAGGTAAAAATCTGAAATGAGCTTTGAAGTATGTTGAATTGTAGCTTGTAGTAGACTGGCTCCAGGATGCCTTTGATCCTTGAGTTCTTAAGTTACAAGAAAATTTGGGGCCGGTTTATAGAAAGGATCTATACCTGGTGTATATAGATATTTTAAAGGAAACAAGATACTCTAGGACTGAAATACTCTAAAATCATCCAAATTAATGACAAAACTGATCTTATTTCTTCAAAATGCTTTTGGATTAGTAAGTAGACCTAAAAGAAATTGAGGGAAAAATGCCTGTACTGAAGAAGTGACCACATTATATGGTATTTTTGGTCTCGTCTCATCTTGCCTCCCTCCAAAATGAAGGCCTCTACAAACTTAAAACATTTTCTCGTAGCTCTCTGTATATACTATCACTGTCTTGAGGTTAGAGCTTCAGGGAGAAAAGTATTAAGACAATAGAAATATTGGCCTCATGGTTGTTGACTTAATTGAAAATATTTCAGAAATAAAAATTGGAAGAGAAAGTCAAACACAGTATTGGTATTCAATTGCATTGTCGAATACAATAGCTATTAGCCATATGTGCTGTGTACGTTTAAATTACTTTAAATTTAAAATTCAGTTCCTCATTTTAACTGGCTACATTTTAAGATTGGACAGTGCAGACATAGGATATCTCTGACATGATGGGAAGTTCTGTTGACAGCACTAGGGTAGGCTTTTCGGTACTTTGGTTTAGGGTAGCATAGTGAGGGTTTTAGTTGTTGAGGATATCTTGATTGTGTAGGATCTGAACTGTATCTGTGTTATAGTAATGAGCAGGTGATGCTAAATTTTAACCCACTGAGAAAGTAATATAAAACTTTTCTGAGTTGAGAATAAATGATTTCTAACTAAATGTGCAGAAAGATGCATGTACCTCCATAAAGGACTGATACAGATTGGTACATCCATACAAGAATGAGATGATTTATGTATATTGATATATTTAAAATGTATAGTTAAGTGAAAAGTGCAAGGTATAAAATGGTGTATCAAATATTTTGCTACTGGAAGAAAAAAAGCAGGGATATACATATATGTATTTGTGTAGGCTTAGATCATCCCTGGAAAGGTGAGAAGTTAGCATTTGTTGCTTCAAGACCAGGAAAGGGGCAAAAATAGGGGCTCTAGAGCTGATAGGTATGCAAGGGAGAATTACTTTTCTCTGTAGATCCTTTTGTTTTTTATTTTTTTACTTTGTGTAAATATCTATTCTGAAATAAAACATTAGGGAAATTACAAAGTAATCACCAGGTGCCAAAAAGAATAAGTATGCTGTTGGTTGACTTAGATCAAGGGACGATGGAGTATGGGGTTGACCTTGAAGAGGATTTGGCTGGAGTTAGGAAGACTTAAAGATGAGTATGATGGCACCTGTACTCGCAATACTGGCTGTTTTCCACGAAGAGGAACGTTAATCAGAGTTCTACAGTCTATTGTTTAAAAGTTTGAATTAATATTATTGAGGTATAATTTTTATACTATAGAATGAACTCACTTTACATCTGCAATTTGATATATTTTGACAAATGTACCTACTCTCCTGTCAAGATATGCAACATTTTTACACCTCAGAATTCCCTTCCTCCCCTTCCCAGATGGTGTCCTCCACTTGCATCTCAGACAACCACTGATCTACTAACACTGATATAATAAGGTCATTATATGCATTGTCAGTTTTCCTGTTCTAGAATTTCATGTAAATGGAATCATACAGTATGTGCTGTTTGGTGTCTTTTTTCACTCATTATAATGTTGTTGCATGTATTAGTCATTTGTTCCTTTTTGTTGCTGATAGTAGGTAATCTGCTTCTGTTCCTAATTAACCAAATGTGAATTTTCTGCAGCAAATAGCCTGAATTAATTACCTCTCTCCTACCCTATCCACTCCTCTCTGGCTGCCCACCCCCTTGATACACATTTTTTAGTTGCCCCACAGGTCAGGGTCGTAAGGTAGTTTAACATCAGCTTAAGTCAAACAAAACCAACAGCTAAAATCTAGGAGGATAGAAGTTGGAACAGGAGACCTGTGTTGTCAGTGGGGTTCAGCAGCTCACCTGAGGTGTCTTCTGATCCCCTGGCCTCCGTTATCAGTGAATATAATCCTTGTTCTTGTGTACTTTGCCCAGATAACTTGGGCAAAGTTAAAATACTGCTATACTTTGATAACACCTAGGTCAAGGGTTTGGATTCCTGTACTGTCCACCCACCCCCCCACTCCCAAAAATACTGCCAAACTTCAGGTAGTAAAATATTGCTCACAGGGGAATCCCATATATGTAGAATAAATAAATAGAAATGAAAACTTAAAAAGAATCCCTGACATAACATGAATGACGTAGAAGTCAAGAATGAGACACCATGCTGGACTCTATAATGAATTCATATGTATTAACTTTCATAAATAGACTTTTAGGTTTTCATAATATGACCAATAGCTGCTAAGGAGAAATTACAGCAAATTGGAGAATGTGTTAAATTTTATTGTGGTAGTAGCCTCTCTGTTCTTTTTAGTGTCAATTAAATGGCACTAAATTGTTTAGAACAGAAGACACATGTTGTAATCAACCTAAAGCAGCATCTGTAGATCGAATCTTCTCCAACTGACCTATTGTGTGCCTTTTAAAACAAGTAAATCATTGAGGAAACTTTTTAAGTAACTTTCAGATAGATCTGCTAAAGGAAGGTGAATATGATTCAAGTATTTGAAGATGATGCTAGGGAGGGTGGTTCCTGCTTTTAATTGTAACTTCAGGAACTGTTTTGTTTATTACAGTGACACAGTCTGCAAATGAAGCCAGTGCTTGCTTTTATGCATCTAGCTACCTTTCACCATAGAAAGGAAAAAGAAAGAACAGTAGTGTTAACTTGCACCTGAACAGAAGGATTAAATATGTATAGAGCGAGAATGATGATTTTCTTTTAATAAGTCATGAGTGGTGCATTTGGTTGCGGTGCATGCTCAGTGCCTGCAGACTGGCTCTTCTGCCTTCAGCCTGTATTCACAGGCCAGGTCTGAAAAAATTATCAAGCATACATTTCTTTTTCTATGGGTTTTAAATTACAAAGTGTAGATATTCTCCTTCCCCCAAATAAATAAATAAATGTGAATTATATTTAGGCTTTAGAACTCTCAATCAAAAGAGAGCGATGCAGATAATGCAGATTTTAAATGGAACATTGCCTGTCACTAATGTGGAACCGTGAATAATTCTACTGTGGTTGAGCTGAGGTTCATAAGCACTAAAACATTGATAAGGTAAAATAGAAGCAAAGGGTGCTTACCTGTGTCACCTTGGCACATTGAACTATAATAGGTTTAATTTTGGGGGAGCAGAGTGTTTTGTATTGGGCCAGTTGAAATTAGGCGTACAAAGTAGGGAAGTTTCATAACGCTAAATATGTTACTCCATCTGTAACAGTGTGATTCTAATATTTATAAGGTCAAGGTTCTCAGAATAAATATTTTCCATTGCCATAACCAAGCAAATTTACATTTTTTTTTTTTTTTTGCTTTATTCTTCCCACCTCTTTAAAGAGAAACTAACTTCAAAATGACATTGTTAATATGATAAATGGATTTATCTGATTTTTCATTTTGGACTTTCAAATCTGTGCTAAGATGGAATGAAACGTATGTCATGAAATTATGTATTTATATTTTGCTTTTAAGGATCTAAATATGTAGAACTTCCAAATGACAAGGAAGAACACTTTCTATAATTGACTTTACCTTATTTTCATAAGCTTTGACTTATTAAAAAAATGTCCTTATTAGTCTGATTATGTGCTGCTGCATGCACTTAGATTGCAAAACAAAAATCAGCTGTGGTTTCCAAATGTTAAGATCATCTGGATTTTTTTTTAGACAAAAGACATTTTTAAAGTATATCCTTAAGGAATGTATTTTATAATTTCTTGATGACATTTAATCCAGCCTACTAAAAGTGTTAATCAGAGAAATCTAACTCCTCAGATATACATGGCATAATGGCATGGCAGTAATTAATGCAGTTGTATGGTATCCACATGATAGATGTTGAATGTTTTTGGAATTTAGAAGTGTTTATTTGTATTATTCTATACTTTATTAACTAAATATTTCATTTCTAAGGAAATTTTCTCTGACCTTTTTCTCTCTGTAAAGAATATGTCCCGATTATTATTGTGTATCTATCAGTGATAGAAAGTTTTGAAAGAAACGTTAAAGCATAAGCAACATAAAATTCCTGTATTAGTTTGTTTTAATTTGTCTTTTTTTTTTTTTTTTTCCAGAAAGCACAAACATGCCAACAGAGACTAGACAGGGAAATTTCCAGCTTTCTCAAAATGATTAAGGAGTGTGACATGGCTAAAGGTAAAGAAAAAAAAAAGGCAAATGCTACCCCCCAAATCACTACCAAGTATCATAGGTATTGACCCTTCACAGTTTTGTTTGACTGTACATTTTAGATAACTTTTGGTTTTGAATTTAGAATTATATTTGATAAAACTATTTTGAAATTTTGAAAGGGCTATTTAAAATTTCTACTCTCCGAGGATTCTTGCTTTATAGGTTAGTAATGTTTTTGTTCTTTTAAGAAAACCAGATTTAAAGACTGTTTTTAAAGTTGGTGTGTAAATTCATTTTGGCTACATAGCAAGAATTCTGCTCATGAATCCCAGAAGATGTGGATTTTGGAATCATACTGTCTTAGGCTTGAGTCTTTACTCTGCCACTTGTAGCTCTTACTTTTTTCTTTTCTTTTTTTTTCTGACCGGTAAGGGGATCGTAACCCTTGGCATGGTGTGGTCCGCACCAGGCTCAGCCAGTGAGCGCACCGGCCATCCTTATATAGGATCCAAACCCATGGCCTCGGCCCTCCCAGCGCCGCACTCTCCTGAGTGAGCCACGGGGCCAGCCCTGTAGCTCTTACTTTGAACTACCGTTAACTTCTCTGAGCCTTAGTAACCCCCTTTTATACAATAAAGAGGTTGGTTGTTTCCAGGTCTTGACCTTTTGTAATTCTATAAATGTATCTATAAACTTATCTACCTAATTATTAACCTTCCTCTCAGTAGTAACTTTTTATGTCTTTACTCCCCTTTAGTTTTATCAAGAGTTGTCTGTAAATAGCCGAAAAATCAAACTTAAGTATTGAGAAAAAATTGTTAATTCCTTTGTAAATTAAAAAATTATCATATTTCTTGGACTTCAAACCCTTAACAGTAGCTGTAGACTTTAGCCATGATGTGTATATAAATGACTCCACTACAATATAATAGATTTCATTATCTGTTAGTTTATGATTAACTGTCAATTTTAACTGTGAACTAGTTTCCCTCAGTGGACTCCTAGGTTCAGTTTATATCCTCCCAGGGAATATGAAGAAATGTTACTGTTGGAGTAAATAGAGCATATTCTGTATTTGTCCAAATGTACCTTAGATGTTCCCTTTACTTTAGTTCAACAAACATTTTTTTCAACAGTGATGGCTTTGAGAAGGACAACCTTAAACCTAATTTCTGTCTGAATGAATGCAAGAGTTTATGTATCTGGCATCATCAACACATAATTCAAGGTTCAGAGAATGCAGTATTGAAATCTCTACCATTTTATCTTTACCAAAAACCTGGTTGCAAAAACAAAATCACCCAAGCTAATGAAACTATTGGAAGACTTCCTAAAGGCTGTGCTGTCAATCCGTTCTTCCATATATTCCTCAATTTACCCTTTTGTAAAATACAGTTTATGGCTCTTATAAACAATCTTGTATTATGCATTTACATTTGTACTCATCACTATATTACCTTAGGATTCTCAGAAGTGGTATTAGTGGGTGAAAGTGTATTAACATTTTTGAGTGCTGGCTGGTTAGCTCACTCGGGTAGAGCGTGGTGCTCATAATGCCAATGTCAAGGGTTTGGATTCCCTTACTGGCCAGCCACCAAAACCAAAAAAAACCAAACAAACAAAAAACAAAACACAAAGATATCATGATTAGAAATAAATAAACATTTTGAGCCTATTGATACATATAGCTAAATTGCTTTCCAAGAAAGCTATGTTACTTTACATGCCAACTTTAATGCATATACTTTATTGTATGTTACTAAATATGTATAGTGAATCCCTGGTCAAAGAAATTAGAATGATCTCAGTTATTTAAAAGAAATAAAAATCTTAAAAGCACTTCTGTTCAACCTACTTAAGAGTCTTTCCTCAAAATCCTAGGCCTTGATTCAACAAACTTCTCACAACCTTCCCTGTTGCCACCTTGATCCAAGCCACCAATGTCTCTCACATAGACTATTACAAAAACCTCCCTGAAGCTCTGTCATCCATGCAGACTAACTTAACTCTTCAATGCATCATAAATTCTTTCTTCATCTTGTTCTTTGTGGCACAGACCTTATCAAGACTCCTCACCTAACCTTCCCATAGGTGGAATTCTCTAGATCATATGTGGCTCTACCGTAATTAGTATTTACTTCATTGACCCTTTTTCTCATAATGTCATTACCATAAGATGAGGAGCTGATTGGATAGTTCAGTCAAGAGTGATACAGATCTGTTTATAGCCTTTGATTGAGATTTTATTCAATTTGATTAAAATTAATCTTCCTTATTGCTGTATTTAACTCTTATTTGCAAAACACACTTCATAGTGCTGCTGCTTCTTTGCTGTTTTACTTGACCACAGAAGGTTTCCTTGATAGGTATTCTTTTTTCTAATTTTTTAAATCATAATTCATCTTATTTTTTTCCAACTAATCTTATGCTTTCTCTCTACACTTCTGTATTAGTCTGTTTCTGTTGCTTATAACAAAATACACAGAACTGGGTATTTTATAAAGAAAATGGAATTTATTACTTACACTGTCAGAGGCTGGGAAGTCCAAAGTCCAGGGAACACACCTGGTGAGAGTTTTCTTTGGTGGTGGTTTACAGCAGTGCAGGGGTCTCACATGGCAGAAAATGGCAGAGCAGACAGAGAGAGAGACTCTCATGTGCTCTCCTTTTAAAGCCCTCAGAACCACACCCCTGACCACCATTATTAATACATTCACTACAGCCTTGTCCTACAATCTAATCACCTCTTCAAGGCCCCATTTTTCAATTGCGATAACAGGATTTCCCTTCCCACCAGCAGTTACAGAGGGGGCCAAATTTCCAACACCTGGAATGTTGGGGGACACAATTTAAGCTTCACTGAGTTTGAGGGGACAGCAAGTTCTATAAGGACAAAGACTGTTTCTCTCTTACTTAACCCTTTATCTCGAGCACCAGCATGGTGCCTGCCACAAGGTTGATAGTATGTGGTCAATGAAATCTTCTCACCTCTCTAGAGTTCTTATGATCATAATTCTGAAACTGTCTTTCTTTCAGGACTAGTATTTTCAGTACTGCCTGAAAATAATAATTACAGATAGTTTAGGTATGCTTGTTTTATTGGGCTTATATTTAGCAATAAAAATATTACTTGTTCTTTAAGATTCAGCTCAAGTCTGACCTCTTTCATTAAACTTTACTCGATTATTCTAGTCCATAATAACTCCCTTTTCTGAATATTTAACATTTTTTAAGTATGTACAACTTGTTTGCTGTTTATATCTTACAGCATTCCTGGTATTATCTTTTTATTCTTATTTAACTCATGCTTTTACTCATTTAATACATGCTACTTTGAGCTATATATTTTTTATTCTCCAGTGTAACTAGTAAATTTATAGATATATAGATACAACAGTCTGATACAACCTTCCCCTCTCTGGGTCTCAGTTTCCCAGTTTGCAAAACAGCAGGGTGGGTGTGATCGTTGAGAGGCCCTCAGCACTAGCAGTTGATGTTTCTAGGGGACAGATCTACAAGCCCCCTCATGGGATACTCACACTCATGCTAGATCAGGACAGAACCAGAGGGGCTGGGCAGTCAGGGGTTTAGTGGATGGTTGGATTCAAGGTAGCCATATTAATTTGAATGAAAAATATGTAAGTTTATATTCTTAAATAGGGTTACCTCTTGATTTTTTTTTTTTTGGGGTTTTAGTTTTTTTTTTTTTTTTTTGTTTTCTTCAGAGAGGTCCAAGTCAGCCAAGGATCAACTGACATGTCTATGTATCTACAGGATTTCCTTCTGATTGGTCATTCTCTACTGGCTTTCCACTTCCAAGCAAAGTCTAGTCTCGTCCCAACCAGGGATGATATCTGTACTTTTTGAAGTACTTGACTCAGAAGCCTTTAGAGGAAGGCCATGTGGAAGAACTACAGATATTTGACTCTCTCAGAAGCCCTTAGAGGAAAGTCAGGAAGAAGAAATAAAAAAGAGTGATGTTTTGAAGCCTAAAATGAAAACTACATGGAAAATCTTAAAGATGGCTGAGTACATAATGAGCTTTCTTGCTGATGGGACTAGGAAAATGTAACCAAATATCTGTCAGTCAGAATTACATAGTATGTTTTCAAAAGAAGATTCCAAGAATCCTGAACAGCTGGAAGGAAGAGTAAGCTAGAGGAAAAGCCTTCCCACAGAAGTAAGGTGTCTCAGACCGGGGACCGGCAACGGGATCGCAACCCTCGGTGTCGCGCCCGCACCGCGCTCAGCCAGTGAGCGGGAACCGGTCTCCACATGGGATCCGAACCCTCAGTGGGAGCGCCGCCACACTCCCAAGCAGCGCACTCTCCAGTGCGCCACTGGGCCGGCCCTGGAGTTATAGTTTTATGTAGAAGTATTTTAGAAGACTAGTTGATTTTTATGTGCAAATATCTTTATCTCCATTTTAAAGAGGGGTACTGATTTTCTTGAGGCATTTATGTAATTCCAAGCTGGTATGAAAGTCAGTTTTTAAAATGCCTCCTCTCATCGTGTACCTAGTTACATGCATTGCATTGTTTTTTTCAACATGAAAGATAAATTGTCTCATTTTAGTATTTTCTTTATTTCCTGTGATCTTTAGCTTTGTCACTAGATGTTTTAGTTTTTGGACTATTCTTTCTCCTGCTTGTGTTTAATTAAAAAAAAAATTTTTTTTTAAGGTAGCACCTTTACCAGAGGGCAAAGTTGAGGAAATGAAATGCCATTTATCCATTTTTTTCTTTTAATATCTTGTCCCAAATGATAGAAATATTTGAGTAGTTACATGTTGAAAACAGGTGAAATATATTGTCTCGTGCCTCAAGTAAAAAACAAAATGTAGTTAAAAATTATCCATTTCTCAATCTGCCCTAATCAGCTAACCTATAGTCATATAAATAAAAATGTTTTCATCTTACATTTTTTAACTAATGTACAATAATTCTTTTGATGTAAAATAATATAATCCAAAACCATTTGGATTTTCTTTTTTTTTTTTAAAAGATGACCGGTAAGGGGATCTTAACACTTGACTTGGTGTTGTCAGCACCACGCTCAGCCAGTGAGCAAACCGGCCATCCCTATATGGGATCCGAACCCGGGGCCTTGGTGTTGTCAGCACCGCACTCTCCCGAGTGAGCCACGGGCCGGCCCCCGGATTTTCTGTGCAAACCATGGAAATAAGATATTTTATTATTTTCCTTATTCACTTAATAAATGTTTGAGTCTTTTTTTTCTTTTTATACAGAGTTCAGTGTGGGGTGTCTGAAGGGGTGAAGAGGTTTAGCATTTATAGAGGGTAGCAGAGATACAACATGCATACAACGAATGACCCACGTCCTCAATTCCAAGTGGATTTGCTGTTGGAGTCCAGGGGAGAGGTCACATCCCACAGTGATAGTCAAGGAAGTCTTCACGGGAAGGATGGCATTTGAACTAGGCCTTGAGAGGAGATAAACATTGTTAAGTGGGGAAAATTCTGAATATGAATAATTATTATTTCCAATATTCAGAGGGAAGATCTTGAACAAACATTTGGAGGCAGTAAAGTAGAAGACTATTTCCCAGTTAACAAATATTTCCAGGAAAACAGTCTGGCTGAAACTGACTCAATTTATAGAGCATCTTAAACGTTAGGCGAACGATCATGGACTTTTTCTATATTAATAATGGAGGTTGTCTGTATTAGAGTTTAATTTGTTAACATATAAAGAAATACGTACTTTCCCTCTACTTTTAAAACTTACCCAATTAAAAATTGTACACTATAATTAGAAAAACGACAGATTGTGAGCTTTTTATACATGTCTCTAAAGTTAAGCTTTTCTAATATGATCTACCAGCTTTCCTGACATCAAAAATATTTTTAGTACAAAAAAAACCCTTTTTTCCTCAATTAACTGTGTCAGATTCTTATAGTAGGCCAAGTAAGGTAACATACCAGCCTTTTTGCATTTATGATGACAGTTTAGTTTCTAAATATTAAATAGCTTAAATCATTTCCAGTGATTCCCAGTTGGTCACTTTTCTAGAAGCTTAACAGTTTTATGTAACAATATGTAAACATCATTACATAAGAGGCATGCCAGTGTGAATGGAATGGCCCCTGATGCGCTGCACTGCAGTGTAGTATATGCCAGGTTAGTTCTTAAACCCTGCCACTGTGCACATTAATATTTATTTCAAAATCTTTTCGTTTGTCAGAGCAATTACATAACTTTTAACTGTGTTTTAGGTAAAAGAATTTGATACTCTCTCAATAGTGGATTCTTGTAAAAACTTATCTTTATATATATAAAATATATATTTGGAATATCTTTTGAAAGTTTGCAGAATCAGTTTTGCTTAAACGCTTGTAAGTGATCCTAAAAATGTGTTTGGACAATTAATGTTTGTTTTATGTTAATCAAATATCTAAGTTATGAAATATCTAAAACAGACAAAATTGAGGATGATTAAACTTGATGATATTTAATAAGAGAAATGTATCCATGAAGATTATGTTTTCATCTTCCCATCATTTGTGCCATGAAAGTGGAAAATTACTAGAATACCCAGAAAATTTATGGAAGGCAGAGGCTGTGTCTGTTTTTTCTTGTACATCTCTTCACAGTACTTGGTCCACGGTTCTGTGTGAGACATCTGCTGAGGTACTATTTAAGTCATATGGCATCTAGCATATGGTATTCTCTCTTGCTATTTAGCAACTAAGTAGAGAATAAATGTTCACAATGTGTATCAAAGATGCAAAATGAAAAATAAAGTATGTGAAGTCAAATTTATTTTTAGAATATACTAGTTTTTTATTATTTGGGTTTTATTAATAATAATACTAGGAAATTGTGTTGCATAAGATGAAAAATATGATGAAATATCGTTTGTTCTTCACGTCCCAATATTAATGAAAGGGTATTTATACTTTTCTTCATTCACTCTGACCTTTTCCTTTTGCTGCCCACTTTTTTTGCCTTATGAATTTTGAGATATAATTTTTCCAAGAAAAGGATTTCAATTTGCTTACATAAATCATGTTAATGTAGACAATTTGGAAAAAAACAAGATTAATATTCACAATTTCATCACTCAGCAATGATGACTGTAAATAATTTGGTATGTTCTTGGTAGATTTGTTTTGGTATCTGTGTGATATTGAGTGACACAATCTTACACTTTATTTTCCTCTAATACCAGCATTTCGTTTCCCATTTGAAAATTTTTGCGTCTTAATGGGACCCAGTGTTTTGTGGCTTAATATATGCAAATTGCTGGCATTTGGATTTACTTGATCACTTTTGTTTATTGACCTTGCTTAACCATGTTTTAAGAATATCATTTTAAGTAAGTCAGGATTATTTGAAATACAGAGTATGCAACAGATTTAATTGTCTTTCTCCTTTTATTTTTTGGTGAAAAGCTTTCTTAAGTGTTTAGATTTTTATTTGATGGAAGAGACAGATTTAAGGATCTTAATGTATAATTAACAAAAGTCAGAAACTATTTTAACTAAGTACATTTTTTTTTGTATTAATCTGGACAGGATATGACATTTTACTTGTTTTTTATGTGATACATGGGCATTTTGTAGCTTTTCTTACCAGCATTCTGTTTATGGTATTTTTTTTTTTTAATGGGTGTGAGTGTTAAGATATTACTTAGGGCACTGGAAAAAATACTAATATTGATTTGTTGCCAATTTAAACATAAACTAAAAGGTACTAGACCTCCACAGGGACACGTTTTTGTTTTTTTTTTTTGGCGGCTGGTGGGACACTTTTTTGTGAAAAGACCTATTTATGCCAAACATTTGTCCAAATAAGAACTAGAGCAAGTTGAGTTAATGCCGCCTTCAGATATGTTAGCCACAGTGTCAACTACAGAATTATTTTTGTCTCTTTTTTTAGCACTTTGCTTTTGAATAAAATTACTTATCTAGCATAGAATATCATAAAAGGAAATGTTAATGTCTTAAGTAGTGCTATCGGTCCTTCTTGTCAGATTTTTTTTAAAACATTACATTATTATTTAATTCCTATAAACTTTTTTTAGTGTTGTCTCTGCTCTTTGTAGGGTATAGACCTTTCTAGGAGGTTTTGTTCTTTTTCTGTACCACCTTTTGTGCCCTAAATAGAGTAGGTGCTTAATAATGATGCCCAAGAAACATTACCATATGTTTTGTTTAACACAGCTGGAAGGAAACATGAAGTTATTAGATGTAAAAATATTTTTGTGGTCTTAGTTTACTTTATGATTACTTAAAAATCCCACTCATCGTATTTATTTTTTTTATTTATAGAAATACTTCCATCATTTCTTCAGAAAGTTGAAGTTGTCTCTGAAGCTTCTAGAGAAACTTGTGTAGCTTTGAGTGATTGCCTTAATCTCTTCACTAAACAAGAAGTGGTAGGTTGTTTGGAATTTAATTTTTAATAATTGTTTGGGAGTCACATGCTTGATCATTCAGTAAGTCAATTTGCTTTCAAATTGTTCAAAGGTAGGAAAAAATTAGTATTAATGAAGAAAATTCAATCTTCATTTTTCACCAAAATTTAGAAGTTATCCTTGATTAAGCAGGATGATTCTGAAATAACTTAAGTTCAGATCTTTTGAACTTATTGATGTAGCCATGTTTAACAAGTATATTTAAAGTTGATCTACTCAGGGTTGTTGTGACATTTCAATAAGAGGGTTGTGATGGGGCTGCCTTGTTAGCTCAGTTGGTTAGAATGTGGTGCTGAAAACACCAAGGTCCAGGGTTTGATCCCTGTACTGACCAGCTGCCAAAGCTTTTGTTAGAAAAATTGCTGCAACAAATGTCACTGCAAATATTTCTTTGCATGCTTATTGGATTGGTTTGGAAAGATTTTCATATGTATTTACTTTTGCCAAAAAAAAAAAAAAAAAAAAAAAAAAAGTCAGTAAGAGGGATGTGAAAATATTCTAGAAACAAAATTTTTATGTGAAAAATACATAATACTTTTATTTCAAGTGGAGTATTATTATATTTACCAACGTAAACTGAGCTCAGCGGATTAAATATTTCTTTGTGCTCTTTTTCCCTTGCTCTCTTTCCATTCAACAGTTTGCCATTTGCTTTTCCAAATATGAGTAAGAGTGGTGTGCTTATCTATTAGCAATTCTTTTTCTAATGACTGAAAAGTTGTAAACATGTTTTAGTTGCCTGCAGTAGGATTTTTCTTGGTGTTTTTTTTTTTTTTTTAATGTTCATTTTCATGATTTTATAATGTAAGCCAAGTGGCAATAGGCTTTCTTTTTCATTTCGTTAATTTCTTTCTTTTTCATTTTGTTAATTTCGTTAATTAAATATGTTTAATCTTCAGCTTTTTAGATTAAGATACCAAATTTCTTATTTTTGTTATAATTTATATGTATCTTTTGGTTACAGATTGGGTTTTGGTAAAACAAGACAGGTGAAAGTGGTTTTATATGTATTTCTCTTATATGTAAGGATCTAAAATTCTCTTTTCTCATGATTAGAGTGGACTGCTTGTGAATTCATATACAATTTTTTAAAATTTACCACTCTTTTTTTGCTATATATTTTTTTGCTATTTGTACCCCAGATTCCATATATTAGTTTCTCTGGAGAACAAGAAAAATATGGAAATAATAGTCTGAATTCCATTAAAACAAACTTACTTTAGCAAGTCTTTCAACAAAGTTCTATTAACTATCAAAGGAAAGCAATTGTTCATTGAACATTTGAAATGGTTGATTCTTCTAATACTGTTTGAAAACATCTCTTTTCAGCATTTCTATTTTTGGCAGTTTGCAGATATCATATGCTACCTTATTTAAATGAGGAATGATTTAGTGTTATAAATAAATCTGAATAGGATGTATTCAGAACATTGTGGACCATCTTTGAAATTAACAAATTATGATGTCCTGGGATTTGTGTAGTATTTAGTATATTGTAAAGCCAAGTTTCACTCGCATCTCTGATATGGTACATGATGGAAGTATTGAAAACTTTTTTCTTCTAGAGACGTATGGTTTTCATGCTGAACACTAGATTAGAAGTAATGTGTTATGTTGGTGTGTTAATTTCTGGAGAAGTCCCTATTCTAATTTTTAAATTCCCTGCTTTAAAAAATAGCCTAAACCCCTCTCTTTGGGAAAATGTAGATGTGCAAGAGTATTAGCCTTGAGTTTAGACTAATTAACCTTCTTTATCCTCTTTAATTTGTCATGAGGGTTAAATAAGATAATGTAAGCAAAATGCTTAGCATAGTGCCTTAACACATAAGTCCTGAATATAAGTTGGCAGTTATTATTGTAGGATCTTATATAATTAACACTTGTAACCCTTCTTTGGTGGTGTCTTGGAGGTCTTGTATCTTTAACATTGAATTGATCTTATTTTGGGAGGAGGTACTGTTGTCCAAAGAGAATTTGACTACTTGTGGAATGATTGTGTTGTGTTTCCATCCTTAATACTTATGATTTAAGTGACACTGATCTGCTTAAGTCCTCTGAACCTTGAGGTCTTCATCTTTCAAATAAAGGAGACCACATATAAAGTTGTTTGGAGCACTGGTTTGAAAATCTGATGGACCTGTTTTAAATCTGTCTTTCTCTAACCAGCTGTGGGACAAGTTTTATAAGATGAAAATATATAAACACCTCAGAGTTGGGTGTGGGAATAAACCGTATATAGATGAATAATATGTATATATACACTCTTATTAGCATCCTGTGTGGGACACAGTATTCATTTATCAACTGGCATTTAATGTTTCAAACTTTTCTAGTAGCTTTAAGATACCTTTTCAGAATTCTATGACATATTAACTCTGTGAGACCCTCAGTAGAATCCTCAGTAGAATTCTGGGAAGTAAGACAATAGAAGGTTCCCCAAAATATTTAAAAGATAAGTAGCATCCTCAAAGTTAGTCTTTCACATGCCTAAGAATTACAAACAGGAATTTAATGGCTTGATTGAAGTCAGAGTGGCATAATTATGTACTGTAATGCCCTATTTATCTAACATTAGAAATTACATTTTTATTATCTGGAACTTTTATTAAAAGAGCAGTCATAAACTTTAAACTCACATAAAATTGGGTCTAATTCCTGGCTCTGCTATTTAATCTCTCTTGGACTCCGTTTTTAAATACAATCTTCTATTTTAAATGGTGATCAACCAAAAAGGATTGCTTTGAAGAGTCAGTGAGATCATACTAGCAAAATACCTGTGTAGTACCTGGCACAAAATAGGGATCCAGTAGATGTGACTCCAGTCCTTAGAACAGTAAAACTCTTTTTTATTCTAATTTCTTTTCTTTTTTTGGTGGCTGGCCAGTATGGTCAGAACTTGGTGTTATCAACACTGCACTGTAACCAACTGAGCTAACTGGCCAGCCATATTCCAGTCTTTTTTTGATAGTAGTTATTCTAAATATTACAAGGGTTCTTTTTAACCTAAATTTTTTTTTTTTTTTTTTTTTTTTGTCTTTTTTTTACTGACCGGTAACGGGATCGCAACCCTCGGTGTCGCGCCCGTACCAGGGACTGGCAA